GTTACACATGATCCTGTGATCTAATTGGTCGATCACACTCCGGTGACTGTCACCGCCGGCGACAAATAGATTCACTCATTCTTTTATATAGTAATATATTAGTAATATTAAAATCTAAATTAATAATTTTATACAAAGTTTCAATTTTAGCTAGTTTCTAAACAACATTATATAGAGATAGTGATAGTACTTGTTAGAAATTGATATAATATAGAGAATTTTTTGCGTTAATTTTCCCCAAGTTTCTGACTCTGGCCAATCAGAGGTATAACGTGAAAATTCCTTGCAAAATTTTTAGTATAATGTTGCCCACTAAAGCTAACCCAAACCCTAACTTAGATGTCACATTTTAATTAGGTGACATGTAAACTGGTGCGAATAATCCCAGTCAATAGAAACTTGGAGGAAAAATTAGTGGGTGGGTGACTTTTTTAAACAAACCTGGTCAGTTTTTTTTTTTTAATTCACCCGAATTCTACACGGGTGACCTGTGGCGTGACTTTGTTAAACTGACTCGATTTCCACCCGGGTGACTCATGGTCCACCTGTCGGGTGACCGGGAGATTTTGTTTTTTTTTTTTTTCTTTTTTTTAAGCGTGTCAAAATCACCATATCCTCCCAAATAAACTTTTGCATAAAATTTTACATTTAATGAAGGTTTAAACTTTGTAAAGATTTTTTTTCATAGAATTTTTAATTTTACAAGTTCACGATTTTTACAAAGAACTACTTCTGATCCACCGCAAAATTTGAAAATAAGTTAATTTGGTGAGTAGTTTGTGCAACAGCCAATTAAAATCAAGAATTTGCCGGCATCCAATATTCCGGACTACGTTAAGATTTCCGTCAACAATTAGGTTATACACGTGATAACCTTAATTCTGTCTACTAAACGCATGAATTCAAGTAAGTTACTTGCAAACGATTATTCACTTCAATCGCTTGATATGCTAACATATTGCTTGCATAGATACACGGATCGCTTGTGTGGTATGTAATCTAAAATTATTAACAGCAATTAAATTAATGTTATTCGTTTATTTTCGAATTCTTGAGTGAAAAAACGCAGCAACATAATTTTTTTGCATCATATAATAAATGTGATTTTGCTAAATGAGTTTGTTTATAACCTTAGATGGTAGGGCTTCCTGCCCGTGGCAAGACATTCGTTGCACAAAAAGGTATGAATGAGCTTTTTATTGATTTAAAGTGTGTTGTGATAAAATTTTTGCATTAAAAAATTTTTTTTTCTTTTAAAAAATTGATAGTATGTCGTTATCTTCAATGGTTAAGTGTATCAACCAAAGTTTTCAATGTGGGTAATTACCGTCGCAAACTTCACGGAGCACATCAAATGCATTCGTTTTTTGATCCTCACAATGCAGAAGGAGAGATTGCACGTAAAGAGTCAGCCACCGAAGCACTTAAAGATATGATAAAATGGTTCTTGGAGGAAGATGGTACAGTAGCTATATTCGATGCCACAAATTCCACACGAGAAAGACGTAGTATGATAATTAACTATTGCAAGAAATATGATGTTCAAGTTATGTTTATTGAATCTATTTGCCAAGACGAGAGTTTAATTATGCAGAACATTATGGATGTAAAATTATCGTCACCAGATTACAAAGATATGGATCCAGAACAAGCAGCACAGGATTTTCGAGCTAGAATATCACATTACGAAGAAATATATGAAGCGGTAAATGAAACAAGTAGTGAAAATGATTACACATATATAAAACTTATAAATGTTGGAAGTCAATTTGTGATTAATATGATTCAAGGATATTTGCAAAGTCGAATAGTATATTATTTGATGAACTTGCATATTTTGCCCAGAAGTGTTTTCTTTAGTAGGGTAAGTTGATATATCTTGAATGTAATATTTTATAATTAGTTTACACGAAGGAAACGAAATCTAATCAATATGAAATAATGATATTAGCACGGTGAAAGCGTATATAATTTAGAGGGAAAAATTGGAGGCGATTCAAAATTATCGCCACGAGGTAGAAAATATGCATTAGCACTTCCTGAACTTATTAAAGCAAATTTAGGAGATCAGCCCTTGACAGTATGTAAAATTGATTTTTAAAAAACCGTAACAATTAATTTGTTTCATATAACCCTTTTCACATTGAAATTTATCTAAGGTATGGACGTCAACATTACAACGTACAATAGAAACGGCCAAACACTTACAGTATCCAAAATTACATTGGAAGGCATTAGATGAACTGGACGCAGGTGTTTGTGATGGAATGACATATGAAGAGATTGAGGTTTGTATTATATTTGCAGAAATTATGTACTTATTAGCCCTATGCTAAGATATAATTATTAATGTCGTAGTGTAGGATACTATTGCATTCGTATATGCAGTGTTGTCAATTTTTGTGTCCAGTGGCCTTTCCCTCTTTCCCTTGGAATTTTTAATAGTAAAGTTCCAGTAATACTAGTAATACTGTTAATTTTGACATTCAATAATTTACGGTAATTTATAGTAACTTCTGGCGCCTTCCATTGACAACGCTGAATATATGAAAAATATATGAAAATATATGAAAATATATGAAAATATATGAAAATATATGAGAATATATGAGCTAAACCAATTGCTATAAATCAATTGCTAAATAAATCGGGTTAATTCAATGTTTCTTAGGAAAGATACCCAGAAGATTATAATAATCGCGATGAAGACAAATTCAATTATCGGTATCGTGGCGGCGAGGTAATTATAATTTTAGTCTAACGGATAAGAAATGAATGAAAACATTTGTCTGAAAACTTTCATGTACTTTAAAATTACAGTCTTATCGTGATGTAGTCTATCGTTTAGAACCAGTGATAATGGAACTTGAGAGGCAGCAAAATATCTTGATAATTGGTCATCAGGCTATTTTACGTTGTATTTACGCATATTATCAGAAATTGTCTCAAGAAGATTTACCTTATATTAAGATTCCACTACATACGGTTATCAAGTTAACACCTAAAGCATATACTTGTCATGAAGACAGATATAAAATTGATATTGACGCGGTAGATACACACAGACCAAAACCGAAAAAGCTAGCAGAGTCCTCCAATTGAATATTGATTAAGAATTTTTAGAAGGATGTAACATGTCAAACAATATGAATGAATTTTGTAATCGTGTGGGTAGTAGGAAGAAAATGATGTAAAGAAAGTGTCAGGAAGAAGGTGGCAAAAGAGTGGAAACAACGTAAACTATTATCTTGGTGAATGAATGGTGCCATATTTGGCAACGACCATTATATAAATGGATTTATGATTTACAATTGCAGTTTTTTTTTTTTTTTTTTAAAAAAAAAGATATTTATATTGTATGTACAAATATATATAGAATAAACAAAACGGCCTAAATATATTTTGTATTATCAACATTTAGTACTATTGTCCTTTTTTTCGATTTGTTTCTTGCCTTTTAATACAATATGAATCCTTTGTTCGAGCTCTAAAAAGAACAATGTAAACCTGATTAGTTTTTCTCCGACGCCAAAATTTCGTTGTTTTTTTTTGAATGCAAGGCGGGGAAATACAGATACAGGAAAAAGAATTGATTCTTGTAAAGGCATATCACGAGCAAGTGGAGACTTGCATGTGAGAGCATAATAAAATTCTTTGTATTGAAGGCGGAAGCGGGGAGAAAAGGTAATAGCTTTGAACTTTAGATCATATTAAAAAAGAGAGCTAATGCAATAAAAGTTTGACGTTTGCTAGTATTTTTGCATGGAATGCAGCAACGATTATAACCCCTTGCAGAAAACCAAAGCATGAATAAAAAAAAAAAAAAAACCTGATCAGTGTAACTTTGATTTTAATGTACGTATGTGTCAGGATCTTTGGGAACGAGAAGTTGGAAACTTAAAAATATATAAAGTTTTTTAAAACTAGTTTTTTATATTATAATATAAATGTTATTGTAAAATTTTAAGTTAATAAGATACACAGTATACAATATAAAAAGTTAATGCAAATAAAATAAATAGTTAACTTTATATCAACCAAACAGTAGTACACAGTTTATAGACTTTTTTAATAGAAGATTGTAAAGAAAGTATGTAGATTTAGAATCGTCGCATTATTATTACACATACAGTAAGTAAACAGTGTGTGTATATTAATGATCCCGCCAGGTAACCTTACAAAAAATCAATGTTACTCGTCTAACATCAACTCTAAAATTTTTTTTCCCTTGCATTTTAGATTTTTTTTTTTTTTGGATTTTCCTTATTTGAGAAATTCGTGGTGTGTTTTTAGATTTTATTACTTCACTCCCTTTCCCCATCTTCGGTCTTTTGTTATCCCACCGCCTTTTCGTTTTTTCTTTTTTTTTTTTCTTTTTTTTTCTTCATATATATATTATTATCTATATATTATTATATATTATTATCTATCTATATACTTATATGTTATTAAATTTTTTTTTTTCTTAAAGTCGTGCCGAGTTCATGACTTTTCGTATATTTCGTTAAAGTGTTCGTTTTTACATTAGAAAAAGAACACTTTTCCGCGTTATTATAGACTTATAAAGGGAGTGTGTAAATAAATTATATATAAATATATTCAAAAAAATAAAAAAAAAAATAACATAAAACGAAAAAAATTCTGGCAAAGTAAAAAAATAAAACAAAAAAAAAAAAATTTATTTTCTTTTTATACCTTTTTTATATTTTTTCTGTATTCTTTTTTTTTTTTTTTTTTTTTCTTCGATTTTTTTTTCTAATACGGTTTCAAGCACATTTTGACAATGGCCACACCACCTTTTCCTTTATTACCTTCTTCGCACCCAATATCCGTTCACACAGCTCCACCTACACCAGCCGTCGTACCTCCTCCACCGCCTCGTTATAGTGTTTATTCTAGTGACCCACGAGCTCACCTAATAAGCGGGGCTAATTCTCCGTCGAATTTTTATTTTCAATTTTATTCTACTTCACCAACCGGAAACGATCAAAGGTTCTTTTCTAAAGGTTTCGAAAATCAGTCTCCGGTCTGCTGTGATAATATTCTTCCTCCGATAAACACGTCAACTCAGTTGGTCAATGACTTTAACACGTCAGTTAGTGAAATACATAGTTCTGGTAGTATGTTCGTATCACCTCAACATAGTGGAAGTCATTCACCTTCATTAGTAAATAGACCGCGACGTGACCAAAGACGTAGTAGTGAACCCAATTATCGAGTTATGGAATATGGTACAATTGATTCACCACCATTACCGCGTAGTGTTTATTCCTCACCTATTTCTACAGGTGGTTTCGTGTTTACTCAAGAAAGACAACCACCACCACCTCAACTCGATATGACACAAAAATTTAATAATGATCTGAGATTATCAACGTCCATCACTAATCAGAATACTCACGCGCATCGTAGAACTTCTACTTTGTCCAAAATTTTGCAAACCCCCGATGATGATCAGATCAATTCCAAGAGATTGAGATTTGACAGGAGGGAGGATGGGAATAGAGACAACGAAGATGGTGATAGTAGTGGTAGTTGCGGTAATGGTTGTCCAGAGAGGTGAGTGTTCCCCTCTTTATAAAAGGCAATGAATGAGATCATGTTTATTTTTTGGGAGTGGAATTAGGAAAAATATATATGTATAGATACACATATGTATTTTTTTTTTACTACTCTATTTGCTCTATTCCCCTCCCTCCTGTTGATCTTTCCGAGAGTTGAATGCTTGATCTTACCAATGAACGCATTCCATCATCATTTATCATTATTATCATCATCATCATCATCATTATCATCAATGTCATCAATGTCATCAATGCCTTTTTATTTTATTTTTTTGTATGAATTATTTTTATTATTATTATTTAATATTATAAAATGAACCTAACATGACTTTTTCGACTATGTATACGAATTGAAAATTGTTGATCAATCATGGTGTGATAATAGTATCAGTCTTTCACCACTTCGTATCGCGCCTATTCCCAACGCGATGAGTACGTCATCAAATGGTTCACCGGTTACTACGAATAGTAGTGATACTGGTAGCATGCTAGGTGAACAAGTCCCACAACAACCAATTTTACGTCAAAACAAAGGTCTTAGACATTTCAGCAAACAAGTTTGCGATAAAGTAGAACTTAAAGGCGTTACCACCTATAATGAGGTATTAAAAAAAAAATTTTTTTTTTTTTTTTTTTTTTAAAAAAAAAAAATAATTGTTATTTATAAACTTTTAACCAAAGTTTATGAATGCAATATTACACGTATTTTTGAAGTCATTCTGTGACTTGACGTAAAATTTATTTATTTATTTACATTCATATGGAAAATATGATGTACTTATGCATAAAGCATTACTAATGAATTTATATTCTTTTTTTTTTTGTACTGCCTTTCATGCATTAGGTTGCAGATGAATTGTCTGAAGATTTTGCAGCTCATATGCAAGAACATGGTGGGGTGGGTAACACCTAAAAATATTTTGATGACGCGAAAAAAATTGTTGAATAACTTTTAATAATTTTATAAGAAATTTAAAAAACATTAATTTATATTTATTTATTTTATTTAATTAATTTATAGCAAAAAGTCGATCAAAAAAATATACGACGTAGAGTATATGACGCATTAAATGTATTAATGGCAATGGATATTATCGCGAAAGATAAAAAAGAGATCAGATGGTTAGGATTACCAGGGCAAAAAAATAATGCGAATTTGGCTTCATCGTCTGCGACGGAGGCCGAAATCGAAAGGCAAAAATCTGAAATTAGAGTTTTGGAGGTATTTAAATTGATTTTTTTACGCGTTATTTTATTTTTCATTTTAAATTGATTAAAAAATTAATATTTATATATAGCAACAAAACCGACGCTTAAGTAAACAAGTGGATGAGGCTAAAGTTGCTTTCCAATACAAAATAGCTAGTGTAAGTTTATATTTTTTATTAATATTAATATTTAATTAATAATTATGATATTATTAAATATTTATGATATTATTAAATATTTTTTATGTTTTTTTAGCACCTTCACATTCGTAATCTAGTGAAGAGAAATAAACAACGTCATGATCCATACAAGACAAATAACAAAGTGAAATCTGAAAAAGTGTATCTTCCTTTCAAGTTGATACGCTGTCCACGAGGAACCGTCTTTAACAATCAAACCGGAGAAGACGGGTAATTGAGAATTTAATCATATTTGTTCATATCGTTCATATCACTCATATCACGCATGTTCACGCATGTTCATGCATATCACGCATATCACGCGTATCACACATATCACAAATTGCTAATTTTACTCCAATACATATGAAAAATATAGAGTTTCTCAAATCCTCTCGTTTCAACCCCACCAACCCAGCATAATCGAAGATGTGCATATCTTGCAATACATTGGAATGGATAAAATCACACCTGAAGATATGCAACAATGGGTTAGTCCTGAACATTTAAAGTGGATTATCACGAAACAGGGTGAAGATGGGGATTATCGTATAAGCTACGAACAGTGACAAAATCATTAATCTAAAAAAAAAAAACATTAAGCTTTTTCGTGAACAATTTTATATTTTTTTTTTAAAAAAAAAAACTATAAGCATCCGAACATTTTCTTTTCTTTTCTCCTTTACTTCTTTTTGGGAATAAGCTGATTTTTTTTTTTAAAAAAAAACAATATGCTTCAAATTAACAATGGACATTTCAATAAAAGTATTAATTCTGATTTTTTTTCTTCATACATAAAAATTTCCAAGTTAATAATGTTAAAAAAATGTCTAAGTTAATAATAATATAACTAATGATATAACTAATGATATACAATGATATACATATGGTATGACAACGTGATAAAAAAAAAAAAAAAAGACTATATAGAAATATAGAAATATAGAAATATAGAAATACGTAGTAAAATATAATCGTTAGTAACATTAGTAATAATCACTAATAATAATAATCCCTGCATAAAACCAAAATAATTGCGTGAGAAATTTAGGTTAAACTATAACAATGACCGAAGTTATAAATTGGGCGGGAAACCCTTTAAACAATTAACCAAATTAGGATGTTAAGGTATAAGATAGTTTCCAAAACGATATACTTGATGTGGGCGGGCGTTTTACCCCACAATTAACGTCGATCATGGATACAGCTATTGGCAAATGACACATGTTGAGAAGAGTAAAGGAATTGGCACACACGTTTACTTATCAAAGAGTGACAAAAAGGTGATACTTATAAAAAAGGATAAGAATTTGTTGATAGAAAATTATCATTTATCGGGATAAGCAATTTGACCAAATATAACGATTGTTACACGAGAAAGTACAATTTTACCGCCCTGCAAAAAATACCTCAACTATTCGAGGAAATTCCCGTCGATTAAATTTGATATACAAGTATAACAAGATACAATTATAATAAAGTATAATTACTGTACGTACGTATGTACATATCAGATATGCAACATTGAACCATTGAAACACGTGATTCATTAAAATATGTGGAAAAGTTGCTGAGGAAAAAAAAAACAGGTTATGCATGTATCCATGTTATTCATGTATTCTTGATTAACGCTTGAAATATAAACACATGTACTGATCAAAAAAAAAAACTTCTAAATTCTAAAATTCTACAAATATATATATTACGTACAGTACATACCTGATACGTACAGTACGTATATTGTGTATACATATATATATATATATATATATTTATTGATATATATACGTATATTTATGTGTACACATTTTTCTGCATTTTGTATCGCACATACGTAGTAGAACTCAAAGTTGGGCGTTATCTGAATAAAAATCGTCAAGTAAGAATAAAAATAAAATAAAAAATAAAAAAAAAATAGGCGGGAAACTTTATATCGTATTACATTGATTACATGAATGACTCTGGTAATATGGCGAGATGTTAAATCAACTGACATTATATTTGTTACACTACACTTTGTGTATATAAAAAACCTTAAAATTCTATTATATAGAATTGTATTAAAAATTCATTAATATCTGATATTGAAAATAACTACGTACTGTACGTACGATAACCACAATAATATCCATTATAATAACCATAAATAACACTATAATATCTGATAATATCATAATCTACGTACGTACAATAAAAAAACAGATAATAACAATACTTATGTACAATATGTATTTTATATCGTTATAGTTTATTTATTATTATTATTATTATCAGTTATTGCAGGTATTGCAGTTTTTTTTAACGTAAGATGGTAAAGGCGTTTGACGAATATTAAAGAAAAAGAACCATATACAACATATATATTCAGCATATATACAGTATACTTCATGATATTACAGCATATATATATACTTCATGATATTACAGCATATATATAACAGCAATACGTATATATTTCATGATATTGCATCATGATATTACAGCATATATATATTTCATGATATACAACATATATACAGCATATATTACATGAATGCGCATTTTTATTAAAGTTTAAATCAATTAAAGTGTGAAACTTTGGTGAAACTAGTTTTCTTGAATTTAATCCTGGATTCTTGACAAGATAAGGTTTTGTATACAATGCTTTATATGTAACACTAATAAGAATAATAAGATTTTTATGCGATTTTATGCGATTTTTATGCGATTTTTATGCGATTTTTATGCGATTTTTATGCTCATTACAGCAAGCACTTTTTCACGTTTAAAATAGTTAATTTGTGTTTGTCATTGTGTGATCGAGTTGATAAAAAAAACCATCAAATAACGTGTCTAAATTTTTACCTTACATCCTTACATTACATCCTTACATCATGTGATACTCATGTGTTACTGATAGATATTCAATTTACCTCAAATGGGTTTAATTATTGGTTTTTATCATAGATTTGTTTGTACACTCCTGTAGACTAAATATTTGCTTCGTTGGAAAACTTTATTGGATTCAATTTAAACTCTGTACGTAATTATTAAACTTTGTTTGGTGATTGGTTTAATTTGTTTTAAATGCACCTATCAGTTTGTGTTTGTTGATAAACATTATTTTTTTAATTAACTGCCCAGAATTCTCCTCTTCTTAAATCGCGAGGTTTTAAATGTCATCGTTTGATTTGCTGTATGTATGCTTATCAATATTAGATATGCTGTACATAATATACACATTAGGAATTATTAGGAATTCAGGATTTAAGAACATGTGTACTACATTCATCTACTTATCTGTTATTAGATATAATGATAAAACTTGCATGCCCAAAGACTGCATGCATCTTTTTCTTAAAGTTACAGCTCCACGATGACTATTATGTAATTTATTGGCGCCGTCTGGACCAATTGAATATTATTGAAATTATTATTATCAATAAAATTATCAATAATATTATCGAGATTTGAAATTTATACGCATAATCCATCTATATAATATTTATTTACTTCAAAAAAATTACTAATCCTTCTAAGTGATGTACTAATAAGATTTTTTTGTAATTTTTGTAATATTGAATTAAGTCCCGAAATTTTGTCCGTAATGTTTTATTCTGCCAATACAGTAACCAAAGTGACGAACCAAGCTCTTCTTGTGTATACCATTCTTAGCGAATGGTTATGTGATTTATATGATTTATATGAATTGTGTGAATTATGTGAATTATTTGGTGGTCGTAATGCATTAGCAATTAATAGTTTCACAATACTCTTTTAGAAGCTCAAATGACCTTCATATGGCTGCTTAAAAGTGATTCAATAAACACCAATTGATCAAAAAAATGCCAATGCTTGAAAAAAAAAACCAATGTTTGAATGAAAAAAAATTTTAAAAATCACGTGGTGAATCCTAATTTATAAGTTAATTAGGGTTATTCGAGAATGGGCTGAACTTTTGAAAGGTATTACACTAAATAAATAATAAATAATATATTGCCCCATTTATTCAACTAAATAATAAAGTATTTCTGTATTTTGTGTATTTTGACGTATAAACTACATAAAAAAAAAAAAAAAAAAAAGTTACTAATATGTATATTGTATATTATATACTGTATACTATATATTGTATATTGTATACTGTATGTCGATAAAATAAGTCGTACTTTATTCTTGTATCCTTTTTTTGTCGGACGCCAGACCTTCGCCATTCAAAAAATCAAATGTATTCAAATTGGCTTGTATTGCTTGATGTAAATGATAGGGAACAAGTATTTTTTTTATTCGCTGTCGATATGAATTGTAACGACTATCAAGCGCCGAACTACTAAACCAATTGATTTCAGGTGTGAATGGATCATCTAACTGTTCTGACTTGTATATATTTATGGCCTTATTAATCAAATCCTTCAAAAATATCTTGGTCAACTATAATTATCAAAAATTACAAAAATATTCCAAATTTTAATTAATTAAATTAAATTCTCCATATATAAAAATAAAAATAAAAATAAAAATAAAAATACATATAAAATACATTTAATAAATTTAATACATACCAGGAATATCAAATTTCCCGTTTCTAAACGTTGCTGTATAGCGACATTCATGTCACCATTCTCCACATCGATTTTCCCATCAATCTTAATTAATTTGGTAGCAACTATTCCATCTAATTTTAGTTGATCTACTACTTCCCATATCCAATCAATGCCCTGCGGATTCAACGTGCACCAATCCTTTTGCTCACTCGCCTTTTTTACCGCCTCAACTGTTAATGTTTTATTTGATATTGTTATTCCATTATTGTTTAAATTGTTTTCATCATTAATTTCATTCCCTAAATTTTTTTAATTAGAATTTCCTTAATTATTCTTATTAATTAATTAATTAATTAATTACTATATCAATTAAGCAATCGCAAATAATATCACCTTTCCCATTTTTATCTTGATAATTTTCATCTAGAAAATCTTGTACCAATGTAAGACTACATAATTTGGTTTTTTTAGTTTCCAAAAAATGTGGCCTTCGTTTGCATTTATAGGCTGGGGTTGGAACAATCCCACTTTTAGATGTACTTGTATTAATTTCGTGCCAGGTTTCTGGACAACCACAACATTTACACCATGTTACTTGATGTCCTGTTATTGAGGTGAAATGGCGTTGTTTATGTTCTACTACCAATTTATCCAATTTATGATTATCCACTCTAGTACTTAGGCTACTATTTAGGCTACTATTTAGGCTACTATTTAGGCTTGTATTTAGGCTTGTATTCAGGTTTAGGTTTAGGTTTGTGCTTTCATTATATTCGTTATCCATGGGTGTATGCCCTTTATCCCGACACCAGAAAATTACTTGTTTTGTTGTCAATGATGCTGCATTTGATTGAACTCGTGAATCTTCTACTGTCCGTGATAATGATAAAACTAATAACCGTATTAACCGTGCCCTGTGCCATTCTGTTACTTTACGTCGTTCAACATTCCAATTAAGAAATGCACGTGACGATTTTGCTGTTGCGTAAGGTAGTGTAGATGATCGTATTGACAATGGTGTAATCAATGGATAATTTTTAACTGCCTCATTTAATAGTGGATCTAAAGAACTCATTGTTTCTGGGTCAATCCTATCATTGCTTTTCCTTTTCTGTAATAATTCTTTAGTAGCTTCCGTTTCAGTTTCGATTGAAACGTTATTTATGTCTGATATATCTTGTTGAGAAATTTCTTGAACTATATTTATTGTATGATTAATAGGTCCTTCTGGTTTTGGCTCAATAAATTGTGTATTTCTGTCCAATTCAAGATCAAACGCACGCTCATTACCGAGTTGTTGCTTTCCATTATGTGTATTGTCAAGCTGTATATATAAATCTCTTTTAAGTTTATATTCATATATTCATAATACTGATATACAATTAGAATCAACAAATAAATAAATATATAAATAAAAAATAAAAAAATACCTTAAGATTATGAATTAAATCAATCGGTTTATTTTTATTATCTACGAATATTAGTTGTACTCTTATCGGAAATTCTCCCCATCCAAATCTGGTTAGCTGAAAGGGTGGTTCTGTTACATCAACTACATCTAATGGTCGATAACTTGGATGAAGGAAAAAGCGAACCATTCGTATAAATGGTGTAACATTCAAATCATGAGGTGGCCCAGTAACATAAACCATCCATTTATGTGTATACTTTCTAAGACTTAAATCCCTTTTTTCTGGTGCAATCCATTTTGAAACATTTCCAATAACAATACGCTTCTTAATATAGAATCGAGATCCGTTACTCATGGGATCAAAAACACTCGTACATGCTGGTATTGTACAAGTAGCAGAGGTTGTTGTGACCTCTCGCACAACTGTGTTAGGAGTACTTGTTGACATTGAATCTGTGTTAGGAGTACTTGTTGGCATTGAAACACTAGAAGTGATCATTTCATCATTTGGCTCTGAATCTACACCATTTCCGTTGCTTAAATTCATAGTTGAAACATTCGTTTTTATTTTTGTAGTTTCAACATTGTCTTCTTGATGTATCTCTGACAACTGATTATCCACATTTACATTATTATTATTATTATTATTATTATTATTATTATTATTATTATTATTATTTGGTAATGGATCAATATCCATAGGGGAAGTAGAATCAACATTCGTTATAGATTCTTTGGAAAGCTGATCATTTTTTTCTAATTCTTCCGGTGACCTAATCACTGATTGGTTATTGTCAAGTATCATTGTATTCGGACAAGATGTGGGTGAAGAATCTATGTCAGTCGTAGTTGTACCTGTATCACCCTCATCAACATCTGACGAATAAACCGAGTCCGTTCCATCAGGAGAACCCAACATTGCTCGATTTTCCGATATTTTCGTAATATTATCAGGTATATTATCAGGCATAGTACATGATAAAAATGGAGAATTGTCTGAATAAGACATTATTGCGTTATTACTAGGTGATTTACGAACTAATGAGACTTCATTAGAATCGTTAAGTTCAGCTCTATTCGACAATTCATCCAACCCAAGATCAATTTCTTCTTCAAATACTTTAATGGTTGGCTATTTGTTAAAATTTTAATAATGACGTCAAAAAAATCAAATAAGGTGAATTTGATTTAGGAATATGACATACCCTATTTTCACTATTTGTGTAGTTATTAAAAATTCCTTTTAACAATTAATAATTACAAATATTTGCAATTACAAAATATTACAGTAAATACGAACCTTGTACGACTTGCCGATAGATTCGATTGACTTAATATTGTACGAAGAGATGGTGGCCTAGTGATAACTCTTGATCTAGCTGGATGCCCTGGTGGTATTAGACTTTCATCCTATAGGAAAAAAAATAATATATATATATATATATATATATTATAAATAGAATATCCAACAATTTGTGTTGATTTAAATGTAATAAATAGAAAATTAATTTGTGTCGATTGAAATTTAAGATAATTACCACTGGTGTGCCACATTTTAAAAGAGCCTCTTCATGGTTAGGAAATTCGATCCTATGTGACAAACGACAGTGATTGAGAAATCCTTGCACGTTGATGAATTTTGAGCGATGACATTTTGGACACGCCAACCTATACCAATTTTTAGCCATTTAGTTTTTATGTAACTAACGTAAAATATGTAGAATAAATAGATATATATATATATTATAAATAACCTCACGAAAGTTCCATCGTTTCTACGTGAGTATAGATCTTTACATGGATCATAATAAAAATAATCATTATCTCTGGTAGAATAAATTTTACGCGTTGAGTGACGCGTCGGAGTCAACGAAGTAACTCCTAAACTTTCATTACAAGTGTTGGTATTAAGTGTCGAAGTTCGGTGTGAATTTGAAGGAGCTAATAAAGAAAAATTAGAAAATGAAGTTTGCACATTTTACTTAAAAAATTTAATTAATCACCTACGTTCTAGGATGCAATGTTTCAAAGTATTAAGATATAATTCAGATTTTTTCAATTCTTCCTTTACTTTCTGTAATTCACGGTGCCTTAATAAAATTTCCAGATCAAACTGTGCGTCAATAACATTCAATGCTTTTTTTCGCGTTTCTTCATCTAAAAATATAATTCATAGTTGAAAATTAGTTTCATTTAAGTAACTAAATTCTATTTTCTGCCTAAATACCTCTTGGAATTGGTCGACGAGGGCATTCTAAATTTTGATTAATGTTGGAGGTAGCCATAATTCAAAAGTAGTTGTTTTTGTTGGTCTTAACTAATTAAATTTTTTTCGATCAATTAATCGATCGAAAAAAAATTTTTTTATGATAATCTTAATCTAGTATAATTTTTTTTATGACGACACCAGGGCGACCCCTCCGAAGTTCGGGTTGGTCACTGAAGTATATAATTAGTAAATAAGCTGCAGATTGGCCTACATTATGTAACACATAATATAATTTCGACCAGAATTATATGCTACGGCAATGAAATTATATTACAATATAAGTTCTGGAAATTACTGGAAATTAAAAATTCATAGTACATTTGACGCAGTAAATCATACAATATCGTGTTATCGACTCAATTAAGCTGATATTTAAACATCATTGTACGTATATTAAATACATTTATCCGACAAACTCTTATGATCATGAATTTATTTCTGTCTGTTATTTTTTTTTCATGTATTACGAAATAAACGTTTACTCGAATTAAAAAACTCAGCCGACGACTCCCTACCAATCATTATTCGGCAAATTTTTGAATAACAAAAATTTGAATGTGTTCATTTGCCCGGTTGAACCAAATTACCGTTTATTAAAATTTTTTGCCGAATAATGTATACATATTCGAATTCTCCAAAATTTTTTGATATTTTCTATAAATATTTACTGCGATACGATAGATTAAACTAAATTATATAAATATATGGTAAATATATATATTCATGAAATAAAATCTATATTAATGCAAATGAAGTTGAATAGAATATATAGCTTATTTTATACGTATACTTATAAATAATTGGGTTAATATACGTATAAATGTTCTTTATACTATCAGCTATCAATATAAATTGTATAGTACGTACGAATAAAATGATGTTAAATATATAGTAACTTGAATGGATTATTTAAATACTTATATAATAAATAAAAAAAATATGAAAAAAGAAATTCTGATATTTCATACTGAGGACATCTGTATCCCGCGTCCGGGAAGAACCAACAATCCTGCGTCCAGGAAAGTTGCAGACCTACAACCCAGCCAGTCTCGAACCTAGAACCTACCGCTACTATATAGATAGTAGATCTATGCCTTAACCGTTAAGCCATATCAGAATAATTATAATCTTATTTTGATCCGAGCAATAGTTATGTTATATTCTACTAAAAAAAAAAAAAATCAATCTCGTGAACGCAGGGCATAAAAATAAACCTAATTACAAATAAGGACTCAAAATGAAAATAATACAAATAAGAACCTAAATATACCGTCAAAATTGCTAGACCTCATCTCGCAATTCAATAGGCTATCGTCATTAGACAAAATTTTTTTTTAAAAAAAAAACTGTTCATTAAGTAATTACATGATTAATTTGCATACAAATTTATTGGTTCTATCACAAAATCCTGACATCCAAAATCTCGAAACTATAATCCCGACGTGACAATTAATATTTAAAGATTAGTAATCACATTAACAATCATTGTCAGGCTTTAAATTTTAATTGTCACGGCGTGTGATATCAGTATTATGGCCTGTCGAAATTTGGATGTCGGGATTTTGTGGTAGAACCAAATTTATTACTGTATAATGTTTACTACACAAGCCTAATTACTAGGCAATTTTCTTATCTGGCATTAGGTATTAAAGCTAAAATGTGCGTGTTGGTTTTAATTTTTCATAGAAGTTATACATGTTGAACCATGAAAAATTAGCTTTACTATATGAATGTAGTTATCTTTACGCTTATTAGTTATTAAAATAGTAAAAGTGAATGAGCCGATTTCATTTGCAGAACAAATAGCCAACAGCTTATTTGGATTGTTTACTCTGAACTTATAAGAAGAGAATTTGACAAATAGGTATCCAAGACCGAGCAAACATTTTTCATATTAATAAAAACCATACCAAATTGTAATTTTGTATCTGACATGGTGTTTTTTATAAACAGGTTTTTAAAAACCATACCAAGAATTTTAATGAAATAAATTTACAGCGCAAATAATGGTTAGCGAATCAAATGTAGATTTTTATCATATATTTGAATTTATATTCGAACTATTAATTGATTATTATTAGATTTCTTATGCACTAACAATTAATGACTATATTACGAGTCATATTCAAGTCATTAAAACGAGGATTGAATCACGGATTCTTAAGCGAATAATTATCTTGGACCCCTATTGTAATTATTTTCATTTGACCTTTTTATCTGTAAATTCCTCTAACTTATTTGTTATATATTAAAGATATATTCTGAATATTTCAGAATTTATATTGCATCCTCGAAGTTTTCTGATATTTCTTACATTTTAATCTTGATTACGGTAGTTGATATTTTAAAAAATAGGTAACTTAGCTAAATCGATTTTACTAATTAATGTCAAATCAACTATAATCACTAAAGTTAGTATTTGCAGTTGACCTGAATTTTATATATATAATTGAGATAATTAATATATAAATGGGCAATTGACAAATTTATTAAAATTAATTTTTTGTATAAATTAATTTAGAATAAGATGATTTTTCACTTAAGACACAAAAGTAGTTGTATTAATAAAATCTTGCAGTGTAGCTCTTTAAATTTTGCAATTTCTTATTATTTATTATAAAATTTATAACATAAAAAATTGATTTTCCGAAGATCTTTTTTTTGTTGATTTTCCCCTTTTCTGTAGCACTCAGCCCAAATGTTCTTTATATTTTTAATATAAATAAATTGAATAATGTGTACGAATCCATGAAGGATGTTCTATAGAATAGGTGGGCAAACTCCGCAAAATCCACAACTCCGCTATCATTAGCAAAGCTTATTTCTTATCTTGCCCACCTATTCTATAGAATATCCTGCAGATCTACAACTCAGCTAGTCTCAAATCTAAAACCTACGGAATAGCAGATCTACGTCTTAACCATTAAGTCATTTCAGAATCATTATTTGCTTTGTTTGATCTGATTCTTAAAAATCAATACTCATGTTACATTCAATTTAGAAATTGCAGTTTTGAAAAAATATAAAAAAAAGCAATCTTGTGCAAGGATGTTGATTTCCTGTGATAATCACAGAATTTCTCTTAATCATAGCCAACTACAAGAACTATCACAGAATTCTAAATATTATAGAATTTTAAATATCACAAAGATTTGATTATAAATTTAGACTAGCATCAGGAAAACCCATAAAGTAAAATAAATCAACACAAATTACAAGCATGCTACTTTACTAAATTATTATACTCTTTTATAAAGTTATATTAGAAATTATAGATCTAAAATTAATATTTAAAAAGTTTATTATTATTATTTTTTTTTAATATTAAAGTGACCACTTAACTTCAGTTTGAATGCCAGGACAGCCACATGGGCCATTCCTAACTTTGTTATATTAACAAGAGTACATATATATCTTTAGTCATTGCTTAATTAAGGGCTTCACTATAATTATTGCTATTTATAGTTACTTACCAATTGCTATACAAAATCTACTTGTGGATCTTCTATTTAAACTTTTTAATCAACTTGGCATTATCAACAGATATTCTCCTCAAAGAGGAATTGTTGTAAAAGTCTTTTAAGACTTTAAAGCAGACACACACTATTATATAGAGAGTTTTTTATCTTCATGATAAACCTACTAGAGCAGTTCATGTTTCACATATATATTATCTAGATTTTTGGTAACTTATGCCTTAACCACAGCTAAATACTTGCAGCATTTTACTTCTGCTACTGTTATTTACTCCTTGTTCTTGTAAAGTTCACTTAAACTCTAACATCTACTTTATGGACTATTAACAGTACTTCAATGCTAACCGTCGATACTCTAAACTTCTAATCCAGATGGTCCAAGAAGGTCTAGTAGGTGTCTTCTGGTATTTCGAATAAATCTTTTTCTCTAGTTATTTAGCAACCTGGTTGGTATATTACAAAGTTAAATCAATTACTATCCTATATAAATTAAATATTATTATTAAATAAATATTTGCTAATAATATTTTTTAAATAATTAGGGCAGTGTTATTTATCACCTGATTTTTTTTTATCAGAAGCTTACCTCCTCCCCCTCTTAATATATATTTTAATCAAGTTCTTATATATAATTTTAAAATTTTTACCCCCCTTCCTCCTAAAAAATCATCTGATTTTTGTCATATTCCTTAGTATTCTATAAGTATTTATTTATATTTATTATAAGTATTTTTTTATTATTATAATTTAATATAAAAAAATATTAGGTTTAAATACTATATAAATACTTAAAATTATTAGTATTAATAAGCAATTAATTATAATACCAATTGATTAAGGATGTGGCAACTTAGTGAAGTTGGCAAGTTGTCATATCTTCAAGCAGCAGGACTAAAGTTTGAATCCTATTAGTAATGAAATTCGAATTTATGGAAAATGTACTTGAAAGACTGTTTTCTATTAGATTATAAAATTTATAACAGAGTTATACCAGCTTGTACTGGGAGGTAGTAGAATATGTAATGTGATGTATGAATTACACGAAACCTGAGTAAAGCTACTAAATAAATTTAGCAAATTGACAGGATACAGGAGCCTGCTTAGCAAAACCCAAGTAGAGAGGTAGTACAGATTTTTGACAGTTATTATATAAAAGATGATTAATTGAATATTAGAAAACTAAATAGAACCGAGATGTTTGGCAAGACACTATACCAACCAAGTTGATAGACAATTGGAGGAAAGGTTATATCCTTCTGGCCATTAGATTAGAAGTTTAGATTTCTGGAAACATGGGAAGGAGTCTATAAAGTAGATACTGAAATTTGGGTGAACTTTACAAAGGTAGTAGTAGGTAACTGTAGTGGCCTTAATTCACAAGTACTTGTTCTCAGACTAGATATAAGTTATCAAAAAGCCTAGTCTGAAAATATATGGGACATAGAAAGATTAGGTGGGTATATACTACACCCTCCCTAGAGCAACCCAGTAGTATAAGAACTCTACTGAGTTATCTATAAAATTAGAGTACAAGTAGTGT